TTAGTCATATAATTAGGATGTCACGGAGCAAGCCTTCGCAGAAAGGGAAGATAATATACACGAGATACATAACCCTGAATTTTTTCGTCGGTAAAAAAAAAAAAAAACGATCACGCCTTTATGTACTAGTATGACAATGCAAACACCCTGCCAAAGGCAGTGACTCAGAGTGTGTGTAAAACCTTCCCATCCTCGACTGTGTGGAGAGAGAGCGATCAGAAGCGAGCAGAGCTAATAAAATACCACTGTGCATACACTGGAAGGCAGTGTACTGGTGAGTGGTATGTAATACTTCTAACAGTCAAATGAGACACTCATGCCGAAAAAAAGTCTATATACTCGTATATGTCAGGATAAAAATGCTTCATAAAATGTGGTTGATAACAGGCTCCCTCTTGCGAAACTGAAAGAAGAGCGAATTGTGATGACAACTGATAGAAACTTAAAGGAACCACGTGAATACTGAAAAATCCTAGATATGTGGTTCCCAAACAACATAGTGCATCTGCACGTCTCTGGGGGTTACGTGTGTCCTACAAGATAGCAATATGTGAAATGATAGGTTTATAATATGTATAGCTGCTATAATATGTATAGCTCAAGTAAGCTGTATAATAAACTTTACTTTCGTTTGCTACTTTCCTTAATCTTCTTATGCATTTTAAATAATTTGATTTAAAAAGTTCTGTAAACTACTCTTTGGTTAATCATAAATTGTTCAATAATACTGTAAAGATATGTAGTTTGTGCAAGACTGATCATAATATTGGAGTTCAGGCAGGTGATGTAACTATGAAGATCACATGTAAGCTATGTAAAATTAAACATGGAAAATACAATATATAGTTTTCTATGGTGGGCACATGGTAAACTATGAAAATGCCCAATGGGTACACATTGCCAAATATGTTGGGAACCCCTGTCTAGCATCACAACAACCCTTTAGCTATATAAAGCAGAAGGCAAGTTCTATTAGGCCTTGCCAAAAAGTATAAAAGAATAGTCTACACAGAGTTTAGACTGAACATTGGTTAGAACACACAAGCGGGCGGCAAGCAGGGAACACCTTTTAGTAAATAGGGACACTGACACTGAAACTGTAGTGTTGTGTGCAAGCACTGAGAGGAGGAATTTACTTGCAGATCCTTAAAAGGAACATAATGGCACACCTACATGGTACAAAAAAGGGGGGGGGGGGGCTGACAAAACAAGCACTGAATATATATGGTATTAAACCTGGGCAAGCACACATGCACACACGCACGCACGCACACCAACAACCCACAAATGTACAATGCACATTTACATATAAATACTATGACGTCTACAAAAAGATTAACAGATAAATTATTTATATTTGTGTTTCAGAGTACGACGGTAAATTGAGTCCTAACAGTCTCTCTCTTGTTCACCAGATGCATTACCCTTCCCAAATGCAAATAGAATATCTCCTTTTTAGGTCCTTGGCTATAGTAGTACCCTAAGCATCAGAAGTGTTATTAACCCATTCACGCCAGGTGTCACGTATACATGACATGCCCACTGTGAGTTTAATTGTTTAATTGTTTTTACACATAGATGGCTACACTTGTACTTGTACTGCCTGTCTCACCCGTTTACACTTTTCTTTAACCCATTCGTCCCGGATTTATGCTCTGTCCCCTGTTGTTTTTGGTGAATTTTGTTACATACAGATGGCTCCACATGTGCTCAGCCGGCAAGGAGTCTATCAGTAGGCCCTAGTTACCGACCCTGATTTTCCCATTCATTGAATTGGTGGGAAAATTAATACCATTGCTATCGATACTGTTATTATTATTAATGTTATGATTATTAAATTGTCATTAGAATATTTCAGACAATGAAATGATAAAAAAAACTTTCCTAATGTGAATGAAATGGGTAAACAGGTGAAATAGGTAGTTCTTGATAACTGGCTATTTGGTGATTAAGAACTTGTGGAGCCATCTATGTGTAAATACAATAAATAAACATGTATCAAAATGGGTATGACATCTATTCTTGCCACTTGGGGCGAATGGGTTAATTTACAAAAATATTTTACGTTATCTTATTTTGCTGTTACTAATGTTATAGTAATTATAATGTTTATAACAAAAATAACCATCGATATTCATGGCACTAGTAAAAAATACATTTCCCACCAAATGAAATCAGGTAAGACAGAGCCATCTATGTGTAGAGACATTTCATAAGAAATATAAAAAATGAGCACAGCATTTTTCCCTTTTTTTGTTCATTTTTACCCATCATGAATGGGTTAACTCCAATCTAAATTTTCATAAGAGTCTTTAAGGAAAGGGAAAATAATGCAGGCAATGAGAACCACAGTTATATACAAAGGAAGAGTAATGAATGGTTAATGGTTAATGGTTAATGGTTAAAAGCAAGATAAATGTGCTAGACATCTAGGGTCATGTAGCACTATAGTTAATGTTAATGAAGGGTGGTTGAGTTAGTGTTTAGTTGTCTAAGCTGGGCAAAGGAATTGGTGAGTGAAAGGGTTAAGGTCGGGTGTTAGATTAGATAAAGGATATGTATGCGTTTGAGGAAAGAGAACAGGTTGTTGATGCAGAAAGTGTGGGATTCTGTAAGGATGTCTGATAGGTTGGGAGGTCGGTGAAGGGAGGATAGGTGGGGGAAAGCAGAGGTACGGGCTGCTTCAAAACGTGGGCACGACAATAGGATGTGTAAGATTGAAAGGGGAACATTACATAAGGAACATAAGTATGGACGAGTGGGCTGTGTTGGGAGGGGGTAGGAGGATAGGGTGTAGGGGGGATATCGTTAGGAGGAGGACGGATATCAGCAATTACTTGGAGTGTGGAAGGAGCAGGAGTTGTAGGTTGAGTGTCAGTTTTCATTAAGTAATCTTGAATATTTTCAATAGTTTCTTCTGTGGAGTTGGTTGGGGAGTTTTGGGGGATAAAGGATTTCTTGTGAGGGGGGGAAGAGAGGACTGGTGTCTCAAGAGTAGGGGCAAAGGATGGTGGGGGTAACTGTGTGGTAGGGGAAGAGGGGGTGGAACGTTTGTTCTGTCTGTTACGGGTAGTGCGAGGAGGGAGAGGGGAAGGTGTTGGGGTTGTAGTGGTGATTGGAGTATCTGTAGTAGAGATTGGGGTGTCTGGATTTAGGATGGCAAAAGAGTTTGACTGGGGAAGGTAGGAGGTAGAAGTGGGGGAGTTAGATGTAGGAGGGGTGGGTTTAGGAGAAGTGGTAGAATGAGCAGTATTACTGGAGTAAGGAGTAAGAGAGAATCCACGTTGACGTGCTTCCTGTCTGGCTTCACGTAGTGTGAGTGCAAGTTTGAATCTGAGAGTTGCTACCTCAGATTCAAATTTGTAGGTGGGACAGCCCCTATAAAATACATTATGGGGGCCGCCACAGTTGGCACATGTGCGTGATTGTGCAGAGCAGTTAGATCGGGCATGGCCAGGTTGGGCACATTGTGGGCATCTGGCTGTGGAACGGCAATGTTTGGCTGGGTGTCCTAGACGCCAACAATTTTGGCACTGACATAGAGGAGGTTGGTATGGACGAACAGGGAGGGATTCTCCTCCTATGTAGACGTTAAAGGGAAGGTCATGTCTACGGAAGGTAATTTTGGCTATGTTAGTGGGTTTCTTTCGATGACCTCTGGGGGGAATGGAGTAGCATTGTACTGATGTTGCATCATATTCTGTGAGACAGGCAAGTAGATCTTCTCCACAATCTGACCATTCTTTGTCATAGATTGGGCAATTTGCTGGGGAGATTGAGACTGTTCCGGTGCAAGTATTGAGGGTTGGATGGGGTTCTGCAAGGATGGGGTTACCATATAGGTCAGTTAGTTTTGTTAATGCTATAGCTTGGTTTTCGGATGTTACTGTGACAAGACGGGAGCGGTCGGGTCGGCTATGGAAAGAGACTTTACCTACTTGTTTTTGGAGGCATTGTTGGAAGAGAAGGGTGTTGTCAGAGTAGGGAGCTGTGGGAGGGATCACGAAAAATCGGTCCCATTTGGCTGCACTAAAGAGAGTATTCAAGATTGTTTTAGAGATAGGGGTGGTAGAAGGGCGGGGGCGTGACGAAGATGGAGTAGTGTTGAGGGAGGTAGTGTTATGGAGAGGTGGGCTATAAGGCTGTAAGGTATTATTAAGGGAGGATTGGGTGGTTGATGTTGGAGGTTGTGGGGGTAGAGGTGTTGAAGTTGAGCATGCTGGGAGAGTGGAAATGTTCCTTGAGGGTTGATTGTTGGCTACTGTACTAGTAGGCATTGGTGAAGGGGTAGTTATTGCAGTGTTCAGAGCCGTGGTCAAAGGAGAGCCTGGGATCAGGGAATCGGGTGGGTTTACTTCGCTGGGGCTATTTGATAAAGGGGCAAGCCTCATTGCCCCTAACAGTGGGGATATATTTTCATTACTGGCCATGGGAAGCCTGGATTATGTTGGGGATAAAAACAGTCCACCCCTCAGGGTCCCCTTGAGGGGTAAGGGCTAGATAACTAAAATCAGGGGAATACCGTGCCCATGGCTCCCTCAGGCCGTTCAGGACTGGCACAAAATCAGCCTTTCATCCTTTCAGCACGGCTCTCACACCTTAGGAGGTGGATAGCAGAAGGGTTTGGTGAAGGGACAAAAACAAAAGTGGGAAGGGAAAAAAAAGACCATGCATAATTAGTTGAGTCGAGGGCTGAATCCCAAGGTTGGGGAGTTCCCCATCATTGGGTCCAAGTCTCCGCCTCCTAAGCCCCCCAATGACAACAACGGGCAAGGGATTGGGGGGGAAGAGTAATGAAAATAAAGCTGGCAATAAATTGCATATGATGAGCAACCAATAAAGTTCTATGATTATGCTTAGATGCTGTGGCACATTCATCAATATTTTGAGTTTTATAATTTATTTGAAAGAATATTTTAGTGTTAACTGTACTCAGTCAGTAGGGTTTGACAGAACAATGTTACTTCTAATTATAGGAATAATGGAAAGGAAAGAACCACTTTATGATTACAACCATTTATTTGTGTTGCACATGAGAAGACAATATAACAAAGCCTTATTCTAATGATAATACTATTGTCAAGGAGACCACATACTGCACCATTAATGTTGGGTCCAATCATAATTTTTACTCCTTATTCTTGCCATATGAGACATTACATAAGCTTGATTCTATATCATGAAGGAGTCTTCTAAGCATAAAGGTAATGAGAGATCCATCCTAGAAATATTTCAATAATGCATTAAATGTCTGAAAATTTTTACCAAAAAATGAATACAGGACTGGAATAAAAATATAAATAAAAAAACAAATACATAAACAAAAACCTGTTATATGCCTTACTTCAATAATTGAAACCACAACACGGAGTCTTTGTCTAAGCTTGAAATGTGAGTCATCCCTGTTACTTGTCCAAGAAGGCAACAAACTGCTTGCTACCCATGTGACTTTTACCACAGCAAACACATACTCTTGCTGCATGAAAGGAGAGAGTATTGAGACAGAAGACTTCGAGTGTTTTGCAACTGAGTGAACATCAGTATAACCTGCCTTACCAAACTCAAGGTATACACAAATCATAGTCAAGGACAGACTAAATATTACCATGTGTAAGGAACTAGATCTACTGAGGCTTATAGGCCACCATGCAGCATCATGGAATGGAGTGGGAGAAGGGAGAATGTAAGGCAGAAAGAAAGGAAAACAATAATAAAAGTAACAATTTTCTTAAATAGGTAAAGAAAACAATACAATATAACAACAATAATAATAAAATAAAAAAAATCACTGCAAATCAGAGGGGTGTATAGAAGTGCATCAGGTGCCACTGTAGCACTAAGGTTCATTATCTACCACTGACTGGTTATTATGAAGGTCCTTAGTGTCCAGTCACCATATTCTTTTTTGTTGATATGTTTCTCTATTTAATACATAGGGATGATGAATGACTATAAAAATCAGGTATTATAACAGTGAATAAATAAATAAAAAATACCCCTCCAGCCTTATTTTTAAGCTTCCACAATCAGCATCCGAAACCATGCATCTTACATAAATATATAATTACCAAAACTTGCAAAGGTTTCATCAACATAAAAACCTAAGATTGTAAATAATATAAAAATAATAAAAGCACAAAAAAATATAAATATATATAAAAAATACATATCAAGACTGATATATACTGGCAACATAAAAGTTCAAAGGGAGAGACCAGAAAACCTATAAAAATAATCTTTGACAAAAGCAAGTAGAACCAACTCACAAAATAAGTGATATCATACAAGAAATATGAACTTATATAAATCAAAGTCAACAAGACATGAGAACTGAAGGAAAAGCCTCCAAATCTTCCAAAACAAGAAGGAAAAAAAGAAAAAGATACAAATAACTCAAGACAAAATCAGCAAAGAATTTGAAATGACTAATTCCACTAGATGCCGGTTCCTGAGATTGTCCTAAGTCATACCACAGATGGAAAATCAAACATTATTTCTTTGGTGAAAAAATCTATCACATCATAATTTATATTTGGTAATACTCATAGAGAGGAGAGGAGAGGAGAGTAGAGGAGAGGAGAGGAGAGGAGAGGAGAGGAGAGAAGAGAAGAAGAGAAGAGAAAAGAGAAGGGAAGAGAAGAGGAGGAGAGAAAAGGAAAAAAAAAATCTTCACAAGAATAAGTGATTCAACTTTAATATAAAATAAAAAAGGAAAAGAAAAAATTGTACACATGTGCATAATTAAGAAACTGGAATGATAATCAAACAAAATTCAAAAGATGACTCAAAACAATTAACTCCCCTTGGAACTCCACATTTGAACATCCATCTTCAGAAGCAAACTGGAATGATATTTGGAATATATCTCTTCACAACACTTGTACTGCCAACCGAGAGGCACAAAAGGCGAAAGCATTAACTTTCCACAATCATGTTGACTTTGAATGGTTCTTCTGAGATTCAGCTTTGACCAGACAACACAAGATACTAAATAATGAAAGCTTCAACACTCTGGCAATAGTCAAGGAGCTATGATAATTCTCACGGCTTTGCAAAAATCATTTGTAAAACACATCTAAGTCAGGCCAGAGTTCCCAAACCTTTTTTTCCCCTTAAATCATTTGACCACTGGTGATCTAGACTAACTACTTATTCATTACATGTTCCCCTGCATACTCATGCTGTAGTAAAACCTGCATGAAAATCTCAGTGAGTATCTTCCCTAAGACTTTCCACTAAGTATGCCTTAACAAAACTGGAATGATGCTGCCAGTATACATATTAAACATGCCATTACATATTCATAACATCAATACTCTGTGCTTTACATGAAATAAAAAGTGAGTTGTTTGTGACATACTGCTTGATGCATCTTACTGACTCAAAAAATAGCAATGAAATACTTGTGTCTGTCTGTTTTGCAATATGAACCAAGCATGAACTTTAATATTTCAATACATTAACATGATGTACATACACTGGTTACATCTAGGAAAATATCACTATTCCTAAAACTCACAATAAAAAATTGGTAGTAAACACATTCTTTGCAAAAACTAAGCCTCCATAAAATGCATTCTCAGACATGTATATAAAACTTGGACTTTCATTTGTGCCAGTTTTATGTTACTGAAAAAACACCTCAACTGACTCATGCGCCCTGATGAGAATGATGAATATAGAAATATAAGTCACAGTAGCATAGCCATGCTTTGTAATTCATTGAGATGAATGCTTACATTTATGTGCATAAGTGCCTGATATATATAAAAGTGCCTAAGCACAGCAGACAAAGAGTAACCAGGTTCTGTGTAAATGTTTGTTACTAAGAGGTGGTCACATTTTGCGCCTCCTTCGCAGCAACACTGCACACAAGCTAGAAATTTATAATCTGAAGGTGTTTACCTTTAAGGACCACCTCTAGTAAGTCAGTTTGACTACAAGGTTATTTCATCACATGAAGGCAGCAGTAATCAGATATCATTGAAGAATCGTTATCACAACATTGCATATTATATACCATCTGACACCTTTCCAGCTAATTTCCAGCCGAACCACACCAAGCATTATATCAGATACTTTCAGCTCTTCACAGCTTTCCCTCTCTATTCCTACTACTTAAGCTCACTGCCAACTATGACTAGCCAGAAGAGGCAGCAACCCTTTACATCTACCAGTGATTGAGACTTGGCAGTTCTTTTACAGGGGTCTGTCCTTCTTACAGTCACTCTACCCCAAAGCTAAGTCTACAGTGTTTCTGTACATTAAATTTCTTGCATTAAAAAAATAAAGAGTAAAAAAATTACATCTTGTGTACTACCACTCCCAAACTGATGTTGCGGGATGTGGAGATGAAGACGATGACACCTTGTGCTGTTACTGGGTAGATCCCACCTTTTTGGAGCTTCAGTGCTTCTGACTCCTATCTATTTGCGAGTCACTTTTAACTGATTTAGTTGGTCTTCCAGCTCATGGATTCTTCGGTCCTTCAGGATGAGCTGGCGTCTGAGGAGTTTGAGCTCTTCACATTGTGCTGTGTACGCTCTCCGCAGCTGAAATAGTTAATGCAAAGGAATGAACATTCTACAAACTGGTGTAGTTATAAGTGTTGGTCTTCCCATACTCCATTACAGCTCCCAAAACACTTGAAAATAAAAAAGGACTACAATATCAACACTTTTTCAAATATAAGCTTAACTAACTATAATAATCACCATAAAAAAGATGACTAAAAAGGTTCTTGACTTTCAAGGCCTCCTGTACACTTTACACAACATCAATTCTTGCAAAAGCTTCTACTAAACAAAATATAAACAAACATACATATAAACAAACATACATATAAACAAACATACATATAAACAAACATACATATAAACAAACATACATATAAACAAACATACATAAACAAACATACATATAAACAAACATACATATAAACAAACATACATATAAACAAACATACATAAACAAACATACATATAAACAAACATACATAAACAAACATACATATAAACAAACATACATAAACAAACATACATAAACAAACATACATATAAACAAACATACATAAACAAACATACATATAAACAAACATACATAAACAAACATACATATAAACAAACATACATAAACAAACATACATATAAACAAACATACATAAACAAACATACATATAAACAAACATACATATAAACAAACATACATAAACAAACATACATATAAACAAACATACATAAACAAACATACATATAAACAAACATACATATAAACAAACATACATAAACAAACATACATATAAACAAACATACATATAAACAAACATACATATAAACAAACATACATATAAACAAACATACATATAAACAAACATACATATAAACAAACATACATAAACAAACATACATATAAACAAACATACATAAACAAACATACATATAAACAAACATACATATAAACAAACATACATATAAACAAACATACATATAAACAAACATACATATAAACAAACATACATATAAACAAACATACATAAACAAACATACATAAACAAACATACATAAACAAACATACATATAAACAAACATACATAAACAAACATACATATAAACAAACATACATAAACAAACATACATAAACAAACATACATATAAACAAACATACATATAAACAAACATACATATAAACAAACATACATATAAACAAACATACATAAACAAACATACATAAACAAACATACATAAACAAACATACATAAACAAACATACATATAAACAAACATACATAAACAAACATACATAAACAAACAAGAATTTCATTTGGATATATATGTGTGTATATATATATATATAAATATATATATATATATATATATATATATATATATATATATATATATATATATATATATATATATATATATGCACCCATACAAATACAGACCCACAGACAAACAGAGGGACACACACACACACACGCCCACACACACGTACGCACACAC